ACGAAAGTTGTAGTTTTGAAGCTCAATTTTTGTCAGCAATTTCTAAATAGCGAAAAAAAACCAGCAAAAAGGACCATTTTTGAGACTCAAAGAGGGACATCTCGACTTCTTAGGTATTTCGAAGGCCTAAATTTTAGCGGGTATCTTATTTTATTAGGTTCTATAAAATATTTCAATTTCAACCATATTCATGATCCCACAGTGTATACTTTCTTTAAAAGATGTTAGAATGACCCAAATCTTGGGAGTGTACAAAAGTCAAGCAACTGTTTTCACTGGAACTGCGTTCATACGTTGAAAAATGAATCAAACTTTCAGTTTTTCTGCACCCTCTTATGGTGTGGTAGCGCTTTACTTAAGCTATAATATTTTGCTGTAAGAATTTTTGTATGATTCTTGCTAAGTTTAAATGAACGTGGTTAATAATGTTGCTAAGTAATGAAAACATTTACCATTTTTATATTTATGAACATCAAGAAGAGAAACAAGGCAAAAGAATCCTTTGAATTATCAAGTAAAGTTTTTTTGTAATAATTTGGTAACACATTCAACATTTACCAAATTGTGCAAACAGTTAAAAAGTGGTGATTTGAATTTGGATGACCATGGACGTGAAAATTGTTTAGAAAAGTTTGAAGACAATGACTTACACGCTTTGCTCGACGAGAATCCATGTTGGACTTAACAAGTATTAAAATAAGTGCATGTTGTTGACCGAACTACGATTGCCAGATATTTTATAAAGATGGGATAAATTTTAAAGGCAGGAAAATGAATTCCACATTAGTTATGTGAAAAAAACAAAAGCGAACGAATCGATACTTCAATAAATTTTCGGTGGATTTTTTTTGTATGTATAATTTTGAGTGTATTAATGATGTCTATAACAGAGTCCAATCGTGAAATTTTACTTGAAAATTTACTTTTTGAGCGTTTAAGCCTCTTCTGATGAATATTTAGCTCCAATTGTATTGGGAAACATGCGCAAAGTCTAAAACAAAAGAATGGCGATGAAGACGTACGAAGCAAAAATTAATGCAACCACTCGTCTCGATTGTATTTAGCTCTTCTAAGTTTTAGGAGTCGTTTGAGCAAGACATTATCAGATTTTTATTTATTTGCAAGCTCTGACTACACAGCGTTATTTTTCAATAATAAAAACGGTAAAACCATTCTGAACATTACGGATGAACAAAAAGCTGCAGAATGTTTTTGGTAATTTTTGAGAACCGAGAATGATCAACCGTTTTAAAATGACTGACATTATACGGTTTTAAGCAATGTAACTAAGTCAACTTCATATTACACTTTTATTTGAAAAAACATGTGCCATGAAATCCTCACACAAAAATTTTTTTTAAAAACAAAAACATTCCACGCAGCAGTAAATTTACCATGTTGGAAATCATANTATACGTATATATATATGTATGTATATATATTATAGTGCTTAACGTCCGGCTCTCTTGTAGAGGCACTACTTAGGGCATTTAGCATTTGGAATTAGGAAGGAATCGAGATAAGATTAGAAGGGAGGGAGGGCCCTAACAACTGCTCCGCATTCGCCTATGATAATTGTCATGTGGACCAGGAAAAGCCCGGGATATCTCCTGTAGGAAAAACCTGATCCGGACCAGCCCGGTGTAACTGCCTCATTGACCTGGTGTCTAAAGCTGCAGACTTAGACAACGGGGAAGAAATTTATCACACCTACCACTCACGATGTCGAAGAAACAGAGAAACAGTCAATTATTCTACGAAGCGAACAGTAGAGGCGAAACGGCGAGACTTGAACGATCACTCATTTAAGTACTAATAGCGCCAAACGCTGCTTGACCTCGGTGATCGACGGGACTGCAACTCTATCGCTGAGCCATTGTGTCAGTATATATATATATAT